CAGTTGGGCAGAGCCCAGTGCTCCAGCCTGGCCAGGTCACTCTGCAGAGCCCCTTTCCCCTCCAGCAGATCAACGCTCCCACCCAATTTGGTGTCACCTGCAAACTGACTGAGGGTGCCCTCGATCCCCTCGTCCAGATCATTGATAAAGATGTTAAACAGAACTGGGCCTAGCACTGAGCCCTGGGGGACACCACTTGTAACTGGCTGCCAACTGGATTTAATTCTGTTCACCACCACTCTTTGGGCCCAGCCATCCAGACAGTTTTTTACCCAGTGAAGAGTACGCATCTAAGCCATGAGCTGCCAGCTTCTCCAGGAGAATGGTGTGGGAGACGGTGCCAAAGGCTTTGCTGAAGTCCAGGTAGAGTTTTTGCTGGTGGCGGCGAATAGTGCCTGTGTTCTGACTTGTGTGGTGTCACTATACAGCTCCTCCTCCTGCTCTTCAGCTGAACCTTGTTTGGTTAAGGGCATCTAGTTCACAGGGAGTTTGTCTTCTGAAAAGCCTTAGCCCTATTTACTGGTTTAATCTTCTGGGGCTTTTTAATGCTGAACTGCACATTCTTCCCTGCACAAAACCAGACCATTAACATACAGATGTAGTCTGAGCACAGGTACAAAGCTGTCCCCTCTTGTAGCGATCATGATGCTGTTGGTTCGAGTTGCGGATTTTCTACATTAGGCAGTAGCAATTCAGTTATTTTCACTCCAAACACAACATCTGCCAGCATCCTTAAGCCCTTGGCCTACAGGACAACCATCTGTTATGGTAGGAGCTTCTCAGAAGCTGCCATGACTCTGGCAAGCATCCAGGGCTCAGGCTCAGGCAGCTCCTGATGCAGAAGTGGCTTGGGCTTACTTTCCCTGATTTTGGTCATGAGCAGCCTCACGTCCTGATACATTAATCCTGCTACCTTTATCCAAATAGTTTATTGGGATAAATAAACTATTCACTGAACAGGCTGGGTTCCCGTTGCCCTAAATCCCTTTGCTGCGCAGCTGTCTATAGACTCTCCCTCAAGCCACCATCTACAATTGTATTAATTTAAATGTGACTTAATATAACAAACTTGGTTTTGTGTTGCTTTATATTTGCCATCGGTACAGCTTCACCTTTGCCTTTAGATTATTTTTCACCATCATTTTCTAAGTAATTGGTCATGTTTGACTTCTGAAACGTTTAAGTATGAGAAAGCTGAGCCTTTTTTTCCCCTTGCTGGCAAACAGAGGGAATGACTTGCCTTAGCTGGAAGTTGAATTGCCTGAATTCCTGTGCAAAAAAACATTCTTCTGAGTTACAGGGAAGTTTTTAGTGTGGAGTTCACGCCAAGTGCGGACATTAGTCTCATGATACAGCCCACAGGCGAAACAAGGTGAGTGGCTCAGCTAAAGCCCTTGTGCCCTCCCGTGCAGACAGAAGAGTTATTCCACCGTATCAAAGATGTTGGCTCACTCTTGTCTGTGTTCCACCCGTTTTGGATGCTCTTGCTCTAACTCATAGGGGCTGATGTGAAACACTAAAGAACTATTTTGTATGTTGGTCTTAGGGGGCTCCTTTATAGGCAAACTTTAGATGAAGAATTCGTCTCTTTTCTGAAATGCAAGAAAATAAGCAACATCCAAGCAAAAATTGAAGCTAGTGTTAACTTTCATTTCAAAGATGAAATCCACATTACTGCCTATCCCAAGCGCATGTTGTGTTTGAAAATGTAATTACTCAAGTCTATGAATCCTCTCCATGCTAACTTTGTATTTTCAGAAGCTTTGTAATCTTGCATGTTAATGCTTTTATGGATTGGAGGCATTAAGTTTTGTGCATAAAGCGCAGATGAGTAACAGTTGAGAAATGTCATGTTTTGGGTGCATTGCAGACTTACCTGTTTGGGTTTTTTATTCTGTGTATAAAACCAGAATATTCTTGAGTGCTTTGCAGTGTTTGATTGACACATGCTACTGAAGGGGGAGACTTCTTCCCGTGTTTTTACCAGACATCTGGCTGAGCTGTAGTGCTTGCTGCAAGCAAGATTGTAGGTTTGTACAACTCTGGTCTGACTTAAAACGCAGAGATATGACTCAACATTTTTCAAAAATACAGGCTAGGGACCAGTAAAAATACTGTGGGCAACCACAATCCACAGACTGAACTTGGGACTTGATCCTTTGCAGCTTTGATTTTCCTCCTGCCCGATGTCCAGGGTCGTTCTTCAAGGACCAGGAGCTTTGCTGAATGATTCTTGAATTTCACCGCCATGAGTGAGCTTTGTATTTAAACGAGGAAGTGATTTCTCCTCCAGAGTGCATATTGCAAGGCTTCCTGCCTTTTGTTCTCTGCTTATTTAAATAATATGTAATGGTGAAGTCTGTTGTTCGACTTTTGGCCTAGGGTGTTTCATCTTGAAGCTCGAAGCATTATGTACAGTCACAAATCTTCAAGTACAGGGTAGAAATTTTTCAGTCAAACTGATTTTAACCAATTTTTTGTTTGTTTGTTTTAGGAACCAATAAAATCACGCGCGCCGCAGCTTCATTTAGAATACAGGTTTTATAAACAACTTGGAAGTGCAGGTAAGTAAACCCACCTTCAGCTCATGGAAAGTTTGTGATTTCTTTATTAAATCAAACATCACCATTATATTTGTTGTGTAACTCTGGCTTGAACTTACTGATCTGGGTGAATTCCTTCAGCCTCACACAAGTTTTGGAAGAGTCTTGTTCAGAATAACAGCGTAATGATAGTGGGTAATTATGCGGACTTAGAAACCCGGGTTAGTGAGGATTGACTGATGAGGGGAATACCCATGTAAGTGTGTTTGCAAAACATAGGAGGGAAAGTTATTTACTTGTGGAGCGACAGATTTCAAAAAAGTGACATAAAGTCTTAAAATTTAGGAAATGGCATAAGAAGTGTAGAGCTTTTCTAATAAAAACCTGAGATACTGTTTTCATTGATATCTATTAAATCATAAGAGTGTCCAAAAGCCCATGAGCTCAGTATCCGCTGGGTGACAGTAGTCTACAAATATGACAAGAATATCACAGGATAAGGCAAAGGTGGGGTTTATTATTTAAAAATTTTTTTTTTGGCAAGCTCTCATGATTTCCCTAATACAGGGCTTGAGCTTGTGTCTCATAGCATTTGGATTTTTCTTCCCTGAATTTATGGTTGCTTTTGAAAGCTGCACAGACTTCTAGCAGGTGCTGTTTCCTGTGCCAAGGATTTCCACAGCCTCGACTACCCACTGCACAAGGAAGCCTCTCTGAAGCAAAGACCTTCCCTGCTCCTTCTGTGCCTTGCTCATATATTGACCTCGGGTTTTAGCAAGTCTCCTACATTGCTGTAATTGTTTTTACACTTCTGATTTTATTTTTCCTGTTTTCCCTGGATGGACCTAGCTTCCACTTGCAGGGGATGTGCTCTCACATCATTCCACTTAGTATTTTGGTACAGTGAAAGATATGTCTGTTCCAAGCTCACACTATGCAGCGCCTCATCAGTTGTCTTGCATTTTTCCTTTCTGCTTGTTCCAATTAATTTTTTTAATCAGTTTCCTTTAATTTTGTGTAGCACATCCTCTGCCGATCAGGTGCTATTGCACTCTACATTTTGTGGCTTCTTTGCTCCTTATGGGATGCAAAATCAGGGATGTGGGAACCAAGTAAGTTTCACGATTGGAAACACTAAAATGTTGTTATTTTTAAACAGGACTTGTCTACTGAAATGAGGTGCTCTTTTCTACGTATTTTGGTGGTAGCATCTGGTACTGTGCCCAAAGCTCCTGATAGTTTAATGTTGTCACTTAATTCCGGTTACCTTACCTGTGCTTTTGAGACTTTCGGCATTTCTGCCGAAGTCTGTGTAATCAATAAATCAAATGTAGGTTCACAGAATAAGTGTTACACTTAATTCGGCTCTTCACTCCTTCCTTGAGTTCTGTTGATGCTTGCCATCTCTCCAGTACCCCAGTGTCTGTGTCTCAGGACACAGGAATGAATCCCAATGGGCTTTTTTTACACGTCGGCTTTCTACCGCTCTTTAAAGATATTACTGAGGAATTTTAATACTGATCAAATGGTTGGGGCTTGGCTTTTCTTTGGGTGATTAAGTATTTTTAATGGGTTTTCTCCTGTTCCTAACGAATATGAACTTTTCACCCTATAACACTTACGCACGTAAGGCACTTCTGCCCTATCTGATGCTGTGCACGCTAATGGAAGTATTTCCGAGTATGCAGTCATCAGATGTGGGGATCTTGCCTTCAAGATCTCTCATCTTTCAAGATCTCTCTTCCCTTCATTCCGGAGTGGGCTGACTGTCATCTCAAGCCTTTTTGCCAGTATTTGTCAAGAAACTCTTGAGAAGCCTCACAGACAACATGAATTTTATTTCTATCTCTGTGTGGTCCCACGGGCATCACAACCCTGGCTCTGATAATCTGTTGAATGCCATTAGAAGCTCTTGTTTTGCTGAAACAACTGGAAATAGGCCAGGAGCTCCGGTGAAGGATGCGAGCCGCATCTCTGGTCTCTCCACGAAACCTGGAAGCTGAACAAAATAAATTTTGGTGGAGTCAGACTGCCAGGACCAGGGAGCCTTAACTTGGTGTCTGCACACCATGCTGAGAATTGAGGAAAGACCCATCTGTCTGTAAAAACAGATTGGTGCTAAATATGCGCCGACTTTGGGGAAATAGATGCGTCTGTTCTCAGCGACGTTTTTAATGCCAGGCTCCCCTTAACGGTCCTTGCTTAAAAACTTGAACTGCTCAAATAGACAGCCCTGAACTTCGAGTACACGGGTTTGATTACTTGGAATTACCATAGGCTCGCCAAATGAAGACTAAAGGCGTCCAAACCCATGGTGTGTATGACTCAGAGGAGAACAACAGTAGTGTTACATGTGACATACTGTTCAATAAATTAGCCAATTAATCTTGCCAAATAATGTGGCTGACTGCGAACCTCCCACCGTTAGCCTAAAAAGGAAGACTAGTAAAAGCATTGCTGTAATGCTGCAGTAGCAGCGTGGTCCTTTTGTTAGTGCAACTGCTGTGTTTAACTGTGTGTTCAACCAGATGGTCTCAGTGGGTGGAGTCTCTATGAGAAGTCAAAAGTGTCATCACCTGCAGCATTTGGAGAAAATTGTTTGGGTTTTTTTCCTAATCAAGAAGAATATTAATGGTGATTTCCTTTTTTCAGATGTTCAGAATAAACATTTTCAAAGTAATTAGTCTTAGATGCTAATCAGAAAAACTTAGGTTGGAAGGGACCAACCTACTTGGCCATGGATCAAGTAGGAACCTTCTTGTAGGATGGCTTTGTGTGTGTCAAAAAAAAGATATTTCATCTCTGGTATGCGGCTGGATGGGTCCCTATGACGTTGGGACTAGGCTGGAGGGAAGTGTTTTGTGGCAGTCAGTCTTCCAAGAGAATGGTCTTGAATGCTAAAGACTGCAGAAAACTTGGTCATTACTTGCTTGCAACCTACCAGATGGAGAAGTGCAACCTCCAAACTCAGGAGCTTAAAGGTTTTGTGTATCAAAACCCCTGCAGAAGCCCAGCCAGGGTTGTTGAGGAGGCATGAAGTGCTCGATCATGCTGATGTTGGAGTCTGGGCCTGCAGTATATTGCAGAGAATACTTCTGGGGGTCTTTTGCCCCTAAATTTTAGAAAAATTCTACAGTTCAGTGCCTGAAGGATGTGTGTGGGTATCGGTTACCTGCTTCACTTGTTGCCATCATCAAAAACTACTGAAATTAGTCTTTTTTTTATTGTTTTTTAAATTATTCAGTCTAGTTTTGCATTTTCCTTGGTGTAGTTAAACAGAGCAGCAAATAGCCCAGTAATTTAGGGCCTTGTCAAAAGGTAATTCCTGGGATGAGCTTCCATGTGAGGTCTTTCCACGTGAACAGAGGAAGCAGTGCAGTTGTGCGACAGCTGCCTCTTCCTTTTGCAGTGACTCTCTGGCTTCCTGTACTGCATTCTCCATCAGCATTGGTGTTTAAAGACGTTCTGACAGGGCGCCAAATTTGCGCAAAATCTGCTACCTCCCATCAGCACCAGCTTCTTCATCTGCCCCGTGACTCAGATGAAGATCGCTGGTCACCTCGGATTAGCTGAGGAGAAGACTGGGTTCCTTGTGTCTTGTACATCTTAAGACATATTTCATGCTAGATTATGATATAACGGAGCAGTGAAAAGTTTGATAAAGGGATCCAAACTGTATGAATGTAGCTCTTTTTGGTGCTTCTCAGAATAGCTCAGTACCGGTGGATATATCAAATGGATTCAGAAGTACCTAACAGAGATAGTCCTGGGTCCAAAGTAACCAACAGACGTCTCTGATGTGCTTGCTTCTGCAGGTAACTGATACGTTCTCTGATGTTCCGATGCCTCCCTGTAGTAAGAAAAACTAATAGCTCCCGTGTAATTTCCCACCTTGCCCCTCTAAATGGAGGGATGTTTGTAGAAATGGGGTTTCATGATTTTCCTTGAACTTTTCTACCCCTCTTCCCCCCCCCCCCCAAAGAGGAGGCAAGGGTCTGCTGCACAGTGACCATCTGCTGGGTTCTTCTGTCTCACTGTGGAATTAAATATTTAATAACCTAAAATAGTCTATGACTGCTTTACCTTAATGTAAGAGGCAAGGGTCTGCTGCACAGTGACCATCTGCTGGGTTCTTCTGTCTCACTGTGGAATTAAATATTTAATAACCTAAAATAGTCTATGACTGCTTTACCTTAATGTAAGCAGTGAAACAAATAAAAAAAGCAAACCGCAGGCACGGTGTCAAAGCCCCGATGGTCGCTCCATAGGGCGTCTCAGGAAAGGACAAGAATTCCTTTAGGTTTTAGGTAGCCTGGGATGCAATCTGTTCGCTGCCCAAGATAATTGGGGTAGTTTTAACAATCTCTGTGCAAACTAGTTGTGTTAGTCTGTCATCAGTCCTGTAAGATGCCAATGTCATATGGAACTGTTCTGTGGTTGCTCTTTGTCGTAAAATTGTGTGAACATGCACAAACATCCTGACACAGAAGATTTATCCTGGCCTGGGCTATCCCCGGGATCTCGTTTTACGGGTGGTGGCACAGTCAGTCCTGAATTTTTTTCTTGCTGGATAGTACCTACCTGTGTACGAACATGACTAGCACAGCTATCCCCAAGAAGCCCAAGTGTGATGGGTATTCCCCCAAATTAGGCTCTTGCTCCATGACCCTCTTTGAGGACTGGCTGTTCCAGGTGTTCCCCTCCTCCTTCTCAAGGCTGCTGGGCTTCCCCTTGCTCTGAGCCTTCGTACAACTCCTTAAATCTGCTGCTTCCATACCTCGGGAATGAGAGGAGCTCCCCCTCCAACTTGGCTGGAGGCTTTTACATCTCCTAGGGCTGCCGGAAGCAGTTCAAGTCTCCAGCATCTTTCCAGTGTTGGATCAGTCACTTGAGCACGTCATTTGTCCCCTGCACTTGAATTTTGTGGAGTAAAGGCTTGGCTCCCTCTCATTCGTAAAAAATCTTGAATAATCAGGCCCTACAGCTGCAGGATGACTACTGGAGGAGCTCTGTCCCCACCG